TCATGCCCAGAAAAAAGAGAGAGCGCGCGCTTAGAATAAACTACGCTTTTAACAACATATTGCATTAAAATAAAGTAACGAGAGGAACGTCGCCAAACGTAACGAAGTAAAAGTACAGTTTTTTCATTAGAAATCTACTCGAGTTAAAGTAAAAGTACCCACAATTAAATCTACTCTTAAAAGTACAAATTTTCCAAAAAAATACTCAAGTAAATGTAACGAAGTAAATGTACTTCGTTACTACCCACCTCTGACTACAATACGAAGATTACTCGATAGGTATTGCTAATATTATTCACTAATTTCCTAGTAATTAGACCACTCATCCGATTAATATTCTTTAGTCACGTTAAATTTGGGAGATAAGCTTTAAGGAGACATTTTACGAATTATCACAGAATTTAAACTGAGGTAGCCTATTTATAAGACAGTCTCTTTAATGAAGCACTATGGGGGGTAAGTCGTCAGTTTCTTGTTCATTATAAATGGGTCAGTCAATAATTGGTGCATATCAACGGCAAGTATTTACTTCCTCTTCATCTGAGTTGTTTTGTGCTTCTGTTCTAAAGTCCTAGGGAGATTTGCAAGGTAATAACAAAAAGTTTCTTGAGTTTTTTTTACGGGTGTGTGTGTTTTTTTTTTGTTTTTTTTTTGTTTTTTGTGGGTATTTTGTTAGATTATAGTTTGACTTCTCGCTTTTACAATAAAACAGGTCGTAATGAGGTAGGTTTGTGCCATTTATGGGGGTGAAGCATCCAGGCTACTTCCCTTAATTGGACACAGATGCTCTTTTTCTATCGATAACGCCGTTCCCTGGAATTTATAAAGGGCAGCAAGTCGGTATTCACCCTTATTGGCAGTTGTTTTTTTATCATTCAAAAATTATCCCTGGGCCTGTACTGTCTTAAACCCAAATTATTCTTTGGTTATAGGGTTAGGGTTGGGTTTCCAACCTCTACATTTTGATTTAGCTTGTATCTTCGTCGTTTCAGAGTTTTGACTAAGGTGTCAGGTCTGTCTATTACTCCCTCATATGCGATTGCTAAAATCAACTGTACGTGTTTCTGCATCGCTGATTTCATTAGACCTACTGTTCTTGTAAAGTTCTTGTCATCGACACAAATAACGCTTCGATCAATGACGACGGACCACAAAACACAAATTTAAACTAAATTATTCCTACGCCTAAAAATGGTTATTTATAATGTCCACGTTTTAAATACAAGTCCTGATACACAACAGTATACAGCATAGCCTACATTGGGCCTTCTAAACCGTTTGTCCAAGCCGTGTGTGCACGTCCCTGATGCCTGACACTTACCAGAGGCCAAGTCATTTCACAAGAATTTTGTAATTCTGATGGTTGCAAATGTTCAAAAGTAGCTCCAAATATATTTCACTTGGATATGAAACGCAGAAGCCTAACTTAAATCATCAAAATGAGAGGAGAGGTCACCAAATAGCTACCAATCAACCTAATTTAGAGCTAGTAGACGCCTGCGATTTTCAATCAAGTTCTGTTAAAGAATAAAATAATTTGATGTTCCTGTATCATTTAAAACCAACATACAATTTTACACTTCACGTTAGTTAAATGATACAATATTAATACCTAGTAGGTTAACACAATAATTAATTAGGCCTATTTCTATTTTCTTTTTCAATACAGCGGATGCTTAAAATCGTGTTTCTCGTGCAATTTTACGAGCAGATCTCCGGCCAGTGAGCGAAATGAATGTCTTGACTGAACATGCTCCATCCTCGTCACCAGTTATGGAGTGCATTGTCACAATGATTCATCCGACGGACTCGCATAAAATCCCCTAACCTACATGGACGTGTATGCGCATGTAAGCATCGTTTATACATTCGAATCAGAGTGGGCTCTAGTATTCAGGCATCCTCTGTCTTATTCTTTTGCCAAAGGCAGACCATGGGGATCTCGCACTATCTAAAACTGGTGTGCAACTTAGGCCTGACAATAACTGCGTCTCTGCGCACCCTTGGCCTATACGCTGGTGACAAACGCCCCGTTCCGGTAGTTTGAATGTGGCTGGAAGATGGAGGGAAAGTGTCAATCAGAGACGCTTCATTGATCACGGACAATGCCGTTCGCAGGACTGGTCTGTTTCGAGAGCAATCAGTCACTCCGCATTAATTATCCCCGCGTCCCACAGTAGGGCAGCTCGCGCTGGCACATGGACAGTGTGTGTCTGTTTGTGTGTGCGTGAGTCAGTGAGTGAAAGAAAAAAAAAGTAAGAATGTGTGTAAGTGCGCGCGTGGGGAGAGGATATTGTGTGTGTGTGTGTGACAGAAAGAAACAGACACTGAGGTTGTGTTCAGGTATAAATGTAGGCTATATGTATTTAGACGAGCCTGTATGCGAAAAAGAGAGTGCATTTGCTTGTGTGTAAACGTGTGTTTGCATGGGCTGCTTGTGTGTGTGTGTGTTATCCGTACACCACTAAAAATGCACCCCACCCCCACCTTTCAAGTTGCGAAAAGGAGCCAATAAAAACCCAACAATAAAAGGGTCTTTCTTGTCACTAAATAAATTAAGTGCCGATATCTGCTTAAAGCGCTGCACCTTTTTGTGTATTGCAGAACGGAATTATTTATTGCCCCAATGTTATTGCTTTTTTCCAGCATTTTCTTTTTTTGACAGAAGGGTCGGTGGTAGGGCATAGCACACACTCTGTAACACGTACTGTAGAGTTAGTTAACACAATGACTGTGCACTTTGTCATATTAAGAGCTTCTGCTTATGGGTCGTTTGCATACTTGATTTCTTCTGAGGCGAAAATTTCTGTTGAATCTGATTCACCGTGGCAGTTTTCTTTCAGGACTGACCTTATTTCTCTCTCTTTATCTCTGTCTTTTTTCCTTTCCTTTACAACAAGCCCCACTCCTATAGGATCATAAACAATTGATACATTAATGGAATGATTTATTGAATTGTAGATTATTAATAGATTCCACCACATCGTGGAATGTTTTATCGTTTCATTAAAAAAGTTCCAGTAATTATCTTTTTTTAGCAAGTCTATTGTCTCTCTCTCTCTCTTGTTTGTTTAGATGGCCTCAATGATCAGCACTTTTTTTTAATCTAAAATTGTAATAGACTATATGCAGACCCTTATGTAAAATATATAAAATACGAAGCATTAGGGTTTGTAATATAGCACATTATAACTGTTCTCTATATATTGGTAATCATTATATAGGCCTATGCTTTTTTCCCCAAATATATTGAGCAAATATTTAAAACGTAATATTTTCTATAGCCAATAAAGCTAATGGTGGCTAAAGCTCGACGCCTCCCCTTATTTATTTATTACAAATGGATACAAAATTGTAACAAAAAACGTATAGTACACTTTCATGTTCTAGCCTATACGTTTTTACAGTTCTTCTAATGGCTTATCTGAAGTTGCCCTTATAGTTTGTGTGATGTTGCTACGCAGAAGGTTTTGCTGGATGAAGTTTCATGGGTTGAATTTAAAGAGGTAATGAAGAAAGGAATAATTGCCGAGTATAAAAAAACATAGAAGAACAAAGCCAAAACAGTACAGTATATATTTCATATTTGTTGATTATTTTTTTCAGTTTATTGAAAGAATAAAAGGCGTTTGACAGGCAAAATATATTTATATTTTAATAATAATGCATTGTGAGCTAATACAAACAACACTAATAGTGTAATAATTTCTGTTAATAATCATTTTCCAGTGCACTTACCCAGGTTTTGCAGAATTGGATTTGTACCGAGAGAAAAAAAGAACGGGATATAATAGTTCGTTTTAGCGTTTAATTGTTAGTTTATATTTTACGCTTAGTTTATATAGCCTACTTACTGTTATGACATATCCAGTCAAAGTTATAAGTCGCAGTCATTGTGAAATTTTTGTTTAAATTTCATCGTAAAAAATCCTCAGTAGGCTAACGTTAGGCTACGCACGCTCGTTTTGGTCGCTTTTGCCTTCATTTCAGCCTTCTCGTGTTTTAGTCTTTTAGATTCCATGTATTAGAATTGTCATGTTGCTGTTGAATTAAGCGATATTAATCCGAGAATCTATACTTTAAATTTAATACAACATGTAATTTCCCCCTTTTAACGCATTCCCTTTGATTAAGTCACTCTTGACTCTCCTTTAGCTTTGGGGCCAACGAGGTTCGCCTAGGGGAGGCCTTGAAACCGCCCCTCCTTATCTCCTTTCATCATCCAGCTCTGGGCCGCCTTGAAACCGCAAGGCCAGTAATTGCTTTTTTCAGGCAGCCCAGTGCGGACTGGACAGCAGCCAATCAGAGCCTTGTTTACATTCTATGATTGACAGCGCTCTGGCAACACGCCAACCAATCAAACAATTTTAAGGACAAGGCCCAGGATTTTAACTCTTTGTTTGCCATTGCACCGTAGTTTGGGCTTTAAGTGATTTCCCATCCTGATGAGATCTGGGTTAAATACCTAGCGTGCTTTACATTGAATGATAATGTACTTTCACAAATTGGTTAAACAAGAAAGAGAGTTTATTTTGGCTAATGTTACATTTCTCATTTTATTTTTGTTCAGTTAGTTTGTATTATAGTCAATGAGACACACCGGCTATCATTTAAAATAATCAATAGGCTATATAATGGCAACTAATCATTTGTCATGTTTGCAAGGCTTACTGTTCCGCTTGTTAAAAACTCAAATGTTGTAAATTGCGTTTCTTGTGTAGGCCTAGTTTGAAGTCATTTAATAAATAATGGCACTCTAGGCTGCATAAGTAACCATGTGGTCGTGCCTCACACTGAACTAGTCGCGAGACAGGAAAGCTCAAATAAAGCGCCCGCCGTTTTGTTTAGTTGATCCAGCTGACACGCCATTGGCTCAGAGCGCCATCCAATCGGAGCCACTGTTTATCCTGGGGCGCGCTGCACGAGCTTATTGACATGTAGGTATTAGACCAATGGGCGCGACTGCTCCCACAGTCACCTCCCCCTCTTCTCCTTGAGTGGCACTAGCAGATTCAGGAAAGAGCCTCTGACTGCTTGTACGGGGCTCGATTCAGCAGAAGCTCTTACTACTACGGTGCATCTCCGAACTTCTGCACTGCACACGCACTGCAATCAGCAGACTCTAGGATGTAACCATTTCCAAATGTTTTTATTCTGCTTCTGCTCTCTTTTGCGTATTTTTTGTATTATGTTTTTTTAAATCCATTTATTGTTTTGCAAGGAATAACTTACCAGTAAGTAATTCGTTTATATTGTATTTATATGCGTGCAATAATAAACATTTGCCTTCAAGAGCTGCTCTTACTTTTTGTTTTTTGAAAGAACATCTGGCATTATACGAAATTACCGAGTTTGTGTTGCAGGGGGGTGAAAGAAAAAGATCCCTTTATTTCCATCCGACTCTGTTGCTTTGTTTGAGCAATGATGATGATAATAATAATCATTATCATTATAATAATAGAAGATTAGTGCAAGACTGAATTTCTGTTTGAATAAAGAAGGAATTTTATTTAGAGGGAAGACATTTAATGTCTTACCGACTAATAATGTAAAAAAAATACAAGTGTGAATAATTATACACAATCTTAACAAAAGACTAAATTCGACTTCCATTTGTAAACTGCTATGCAATGGACGTGATGGCAGAAGAACATAAGCGCTTTTACCTTTGTACACTTTACTTGTAGAATGAATAATGGACAGTTGTTTATTAAATTGAAACTGACCATTGGCCTCTTAACTAAATTTTAGTTTTCACGTGCTTTTATTCTATAGACATGTTTTATATTGAAATGCCATGATTCATAAAATTGTCTGGATTTTATTAGTTTAAAATGGCATTTCCTAACACTCAAAACCTTCTTTAGGAAACCTGTTCTTTCATGTGCTCCTCCTCACCTCCCATCCGTCCTCCGAGCCAAGTCTAATAGATCTCAGATCCCAATAAACGTTAAAAGTTCGGCTTCAGTTAATAGTGGGAGGTTGCTGCGTTCACATACTTCATGCTTTAAAATTTCTGCCCAATTTCTTTTCATGATGTTGCAGAAATGATACATGTTTGCTAAAAATGTCCTTTGTCAGCGCAAAAATGGTGCACTACATTTAATTCTGTGCCTCAGTGAGCTCATTCTTTGGGCTATTTAGCGAATGCTCATTATTTGAGGAACATTTTCTTCAATTGATGCCTAATGTTGTGCACATCAATTCACTCACTCAACTTCTCTCTTTTCAGTTTTTATGTTTTTAATGAAAGTAGTATTGCTACAGCAGTATGGCACTGCAACCATCCTCACACTCAAAACTGGGAACTTCCAACGTTTTAAGGCCTCGTTCAGCAAAACGCTGAAACATCCAACATACGTTCAATGTTCTGAGCGTCAAATATCTGAAGATACGAGCTAAGTGAAATAAGGAGAGCACCATTCGCGCGAGCTTTTGTGATTCTGTTGAGCAGACTTTCTAATTATTGACTTTCAATGTTTAATATCTGGCAAAAGTAGGCTACTTTATGCAAGCATGTTATGATGGCGTTTTGAAACAAATCTCGCGCATTAGTTATACCCCATGACAATTCTCTCAATGCACCATTTTGCCATGACAAGACTCCATCTGCAACAGCGTAAGATGTTGCTTTTACCCGTGATTTAGGAAACTAAAGGACTAGAGGCCAGAGGTGAAATATAGACGCCATCATCCATGTGCTGTTACCCCATATACAAAGGTTACAGAAAGCCTGGGTCAGACGAACAAAGCAGTTTAATTATGTGGAATGACTGAGAAAAAATGACGAAGAAATTACATTTATAGTTTGATGCATTAAATAATTAACCGTTTGCAATGGAAGCAGTCATACCAAACGTCAGCGATTATAGATTTTCTTAATTTTTTTCATCTTGTCTTGTGAAAGACGGAACGACTGGTTTAGCTTTGTCCATTTTATATATTTGTTTGCTTAAGACGTCCTTAGTTTTCCATATGCGTAAGAATTCTGTAAAAAAATGTATTGATCTTGGCATCTCTCTGAATGGTAAATAGCCTGCAGTGAGTCTTCTGTGTGAAAGTGGAGGTGTGCTGCAAGCTCGCTCAATTGTGGTGAGATGAGAGAGACGAGCGGAGAATTTGTAGTTTAGGCAGCAGTCGCAGCAATGGACGTACACTCCTGGTGTTTCCAATGAAGGATTACCATTACACTTCTGAAGGATACTAACATGATACGATCTTGTGGATTTGCATCACTCATTCGTGTAACTGGTTTGTAATTGAAACTACATTTAATGATTTTTGTGTTGCAGAAAACATGACTGGGACATACTTTTTTGGCCGTCAGAGCCAAAACTGTGCTGAATGCAAGACCTAACCGAAACTCTTAACGGAATTATAACATCTGGGCGGCGTTTGGTTCGGTTCTCGTGGTTTCCCGCTCTGGATTTCGGATTTAACGTTTTTTATCGGGATGGAAGGCCGGGAATTCGCTCCTCCGCCGCACCTTTTGGCAGAGCGAGGCGCGCTGGTTCACAGAGCCGCCTCGAGGATCACTCATGCCGGGCACACGACAGTGCAGCATCCCGGTCACTTTCAGCCTGGGAAATATTACACCTCACATATAGCGATGCCTCCACATTCAGGTAAGTGCTTGTGATCCCCTGTTGAAACAATGCTTTTAAAACATATATATATATATATATATATATTTTTTTTTTTAGCAGAATTAAATTGCCTAACTTCAGAAAAGCGCGTTGACTTGTAGCCTACTTTTTATTGGGAAATTAAGGTCTTTTTGGAAATAAGCAATTACGGACTCAGTGTAGTCACATCTGACAGAATTAAAGCGTTTTATTGAACAGTTTACTCGCATAATGCCTGTCATGAGCTGCGAAAAGCTGGTCGTTTCTAGTTGATAGGAGTTCGCGGACAAGAAAATTACCTTCAACCTTAACAGAAGTTATAGCTATAGCCTATGGTAAAATTGAATTTATATTTGTTAATTTTATGATGATTTCAATAATATAGTGTTTTGTTAATAACTTTATGCTGGATTGCCCTCTTTGTTTCGCGCTCATTCAGACATCTAGTTTTCTTTTGACAAAACAAGTTGTTTGGTCATATCTATTCTAGTAAAGCCCCATGATTTTATGTTAATTATTAGGGTGCATCTTTGAGTGGTTTGCTGCTGCCGCTGCTTTAAGTTAATAACACAAGCTTTGGTGTGTGTGTGTGTGTGTGTGTGTGAGTGTGTCTGCGCTGTGGTTCGAGAAGTCTCCCAGATTAGGGTCAGTAGCTCTGTGTGTATGCGTATGTGTGTGTGCTAAAAGAGGCGTCTGTAATACCAGAAAATCCGGTTTCTATATTGAGCGGTGATGTGACGGGGTGCGAATGAGTTGACAGTGCATGCATTAGATTTAACAAGTGTCTCCAGCATTCAGTGTACCTTTGGGATAGAGGTACACTTTGCATTTTGATTATTAATGAAAAATAAGTTCGTAGGCTATATGAATGCGCCAGTCTGTGAATGCTTATTTTGTTAGTAATCACTGAGAAAATCATATGTAGCCTATAGGCCTACATAATTCCATTTTAAGAATGTGCTAAGCAGTTTAATAGTTCTAAACAATTATTGAAATAAATAAATTCCTGTTGGTGTTGATTTAGTGTGCTTAAATATAGGCCAATATATATTTTTGTTTAGTTTTATATGGCTTAAAATGTACATTTTTGTTGTATCACATTAGCCTATATATTTTTCGCATGTAATTAGGTGTGTTAGCTATTAAGTTCAGCATTTCAAATTGAGTTAATTTAAAGTGAATTCCGTTTTGGTGTTTGCGATTCTTTAGACTCAAATTAAATATGTTCAGTCGAATTCGCGCTGTGCTCAGCCCAGCTGACGTATTTTCAGTCGAATTCGAAATCGACTCATAACGTTCTCCGTGCTGTAGAATGAAATTTCAGAAGCGAGATCTATCACAGCGCGCGCTGACCCTGATGGTCCCCGGCCCACGGTGAATGCGCGCGGGTACTGACGGGGTCTTTAGCGGCTGTCTTTCTCTCCGGCCTCCCGCTGCATACGCTCGCACTGCCTTCTTAAAAGTCATTTTTATTTGTTCCTTACACAAATAACTTCGTCCTAATACCTCACACAGAGACAAACAACGAAAGTCCACAAGGCAAACTCTATAAAAAATACAGCCTCTTTTACGATATAGCTGCTTTCGAGAAAATGTAGCCTGTCGTTATTTTTCATCTCTAATGTATTGAATCGGTTCATTGTCTCTTTCTTCGACGACTGTCGTCGAGCTGAATGCATTTTAAAAGCCGAACCCCCGGTAGATTGATGGATTTTGTTGTGCTGCTCAGGTCTCGCGTGCACATCAAATGCTGCTCTGGCAGTGCGCGCGGATAATGTGTACAGTAGGATCTCCTTTTCTTCTCCCCCCCTCTCCCTCTCTTTCTTTTCTTTCCTCCATATCCTCAGCAGATGTCTTTAACGTCTGCCTCAAGGCGGACGCCAGCTCATGCCATACAGGTGCATCATTTACTTGTAGGCTATGTGTGTCTGTGTGTATGAGTATGTGTGTGCGCTCGTATCAAATTCTTGTTCTTCCGCTGTGGCTTTTTTAATCAACACAGGTGTCTTTTCTGCTCATACAGATTAGATAGTATATTGAAGTATAAGATGATATGTGTATTATTTTACATCATATACTGGGACAAAAGTTATTTATTATTAAGTTTTAGATATTGCCCTTTTTGTTTGAATGGAATGTAACTAATATATATATATGTGTGTGTGTGTGTGTGTGTGTGTATATATATATATATATATATATATATATAAAGCATATTTTCCTCCCTTTTGTATGTACATTTTCTCTTTCTTCTTCATTTATCAATTATTTAATATATATTCCCTTTAGATTAGGGAATTTAGATTATTTCAGACACTCACACTCGCATAGAAAGTGAAATCCATTGAGTGTAGAAAATGCAGCATGGGAGGAATGTGTAAAAGTCCCCAATGTTTGTGAAATTAAGTAAGAAATGCATTCTGGTATACTCTTTTAGCCAGAGCTACCATTTTCTGTTTAAGTCGGACAAATACTGATAGATTGGTAGATGGATTAAGAGAGAGAATAATTTAATTACTTTCAGATGGGACAAACACCAACCCACAGTTCAATTAGGTGGCACCCTGTCTGTCTGTCACGGTCATTGTTCGCCCTCACCCTCGGTGTTACAGAGAGTTATTTTGTAGCTTTGTGCTGTAGCAGTCATGTTTCTGCAAAAGCAGTGGTCTGCCCTGTCAAACCTTGTTTGGCCTTGTTTCATATCACTTCTTCCTCTCTCGCTTCTGTGTGCCCTGAGTCCTGATTTAACAATGCTGTCTGCGCTGTTGTTGATCCTAACCTGTCTCACCCTCCCCGTCCACTCGTTCCTTTGCGGTGCAGCCCTGTTCCGCACAGAGGTACTGCTGCCCCCGGGCCATTCGCCTTTGATAGGGCTTGTAGTTTAAATTAGTTGCGTTCCCTTGGATCTAGTTAGTATCTCTTTTTCTTTCTCCCTCACTTTTACCTGTCTGTCTCTGCATCATCTCTGAATTATAGCTAATGGGCCTAAATGCTAAATGAATTAGGTCATTTCGGGAATATCCCTATTTGACTTCTGATTTGGATTGAACGTTTAGTTTGATTCCATCTTCATCCTGCACTTCCGTAATGGCATGCGTTTCTTCCGCTTCTCCAAAATAGGGGGGACGAGTGAAAGTGACTAAAAGAGAGAGAGGGAGACGAGGAAAAAGAGTGGCTGAATGTTTCCACCTGGTTGGTAATCTGGCCCAATTACCTCTGCTTGGTAGCACAGAGCCTGGCGTGTTCCATCGCCACTCACTATGCCTGCCAGCTGAGTGCTGTGAGCGAGTGTACGGCACTCTATGTGTGTGTGTGTGTGTGTGTGTGATTCAGCAGAGCTTCGTTGGCAGAAGCGACATCGTTCCCCCCTCCCCTCCACCCCACGGTCTCTTCTTTCACTGTTTGATGTGCCTCAGTAGGCCGAGAGAGTCCCAACGCCCTGGCCCGACTGCACCCATCACCGCTGCCCCTCAAACAATGCATCTGCACGTCATCAACGCTGGCAGAAAATCATTTATTAATATTTGATACGTACACCTTCTTATGTGCACCTATAAAAAATGTATTACCTGCTGCAGCACCCTGGAATATCATCACTTTCAATGTCTGTGACTATTGATCAGGACTGTGTTTCCCAAAAGCACAGCTGTGCCGTGAACTTCATGAGGGCCAATATGGCGCTTTCCAAAACGTTGAAGCCTGCATTCATCTTAAAAGAATAGTTCACGCAGTAAATAATCTGTCATTATTTAGGCCTACTCACCTTTATGTCATTCCAAATTTGTCTGACTTTCTTTTTTCTGTTGAACACAGAAAAATATATTTTGACATACTGTTTATAATTAAAATCAATGGGGTCTAGTATTGTTTTGCCCCTCGCTTTCATTTTATAGATAAAAAAGAGTTCTTCAAAATATCTTGTTTTGTATTCCACAGAAGAAAAACATGAGGGTGAAAAATTGATAATGGAATTAAAATGTTAAAACACTGGATATGTATTTTCAAATCTAGCTTTGGTGTACTTCCTCAAACGAATGCGATTGTTTTATGCTGACAAGACGTTTACAAACAGTTTGCTATAGATTTAATGCAAATCAGGAGGGTTTAAATGAGGAAGTGAGAATAAATGACACTCTTCCTGCATGCATGGCAACTCAGACATGCATATGCACCTATTACACACCTGACATTTGATACGGTGTTTTCACACCAAATCTGAAAATTGTCGCTCTTCCGACTTGGATTTGTGCAACTGATACTTGAGAACTGGAAATGCTCACTGGGAGGGCTTGTAATATGCACACAGACACAATCGCACACAAACACACATAAGCTAACCTTAATAACGGATGCAAGCAAATAAGGGTCAACACACACACACACACACTTCAACTTTTAAACCCGGGTTCATCTGCTGTGCATTGGATCAGCACAACAATGAGGCAGTACTCTGGGGCGCCATGAGCTACAGAGCTCATTTATACAGCTGTCAGACTCCCTCTTTCTTTCTTTCTTTCTTTCTTTCTTTCTTTCTTTCTTTCTTTCTTTCTTTCTTTCTTTCTTTCTTTCTCTCTCTCTCTCTCTCTCTCTCTCTCTCTCTCTCTCTCTCTCTCTCTCTCTCTCTCTCTCTCTCTCTCTCTCTCTCTCTCTCTCTCTCTCTCTCTCTCTCTCTCTCTCTCCCCCTCCCTTTCTCAATCTCCTCCTCCTCCTCCTCCTCCTCCTCTTCCTACTCTGTTTTCTACTGGCTCACATTTTCACAAGAAAACAGCCCTCCTGACTCGTCAACATTGTTGTTTGGATTTCATCAGTTTAACACCCAGCTTTTTTTTTCTTTTCCATTTTATTATTGTTTTGTTTAGCATGTATGTGATTCTTTCAGCTATCTCACTTATTTTGACACATTTCCTTAAGGGGGTTACACGTTTCTTCTCTGAAATTTGTAAGGGGTTTCTTCAGAGGTTTGAAAATGAGTTTATACTGCAGATTAAAATGCAGTGTATGTTCTGGTTAATTTCGCATGAATCAGCAATGTTTAGGTGTCCAATGTTCATGTGAATGGTTATAAATAATATCTTAACTGAATCTAAATCAAGGCTGAACAATTTTTCTGCTAGTCTAGTTGGGCCAATATATCAGATTTTACTTGCCATGCCAACATTTCCACTGGCTATTATTTTATTTTGTTTTATTTGACTTTTGTCTAGAAATTTACATTTATATATTTTATATATTGTTATAGTTTTATAATTTATTTGTATTAGTATTAGAAAATATACTAATATGCAACAAACAATTTATTATGTCTGGAATATATATATATATATGTATAGGAAAAGGGAATGAATGAAGGATAGAATGATAAAACAAATAAAAAGAAAAAAGGATGATTGAATTGGAAAACAAAATTCAGAAAGGAATTGGAATAAAGGAACGCGAGAAAGGAAAAAGGTAGAGAGAAATATATATATATATTTTTTTTTTTACAAAACATGTTTTTATAAGTATCTGAAAAAAACCTTCACATAAACACTGGCCCGGGCCAGGATACTATCTCTTTTGTCGAACCCTGTCAATTTACCGTTTTTGTACAGGGTTTGAGCAGAATGCGTTCTTTCTTTCATGTGTACGTGTGTGCGCTTGCATGCTGCTTGCTACATCCTGTGAGCTACTTTTCATTGTGACACCTCGACTGATGGACTCAACCACCACAGCATATTATAACCATGTGGGGAATCTGTCTCTCCTCCCGCACTCTTTCCCTCGCATTGTCTCTTGCACCGCTGTCATTATTAAGTCCAAACTTTGACTAGGCCTGCAGCCAGCTTTTGTAAATGAGAAACAATTTTGGGATTTGGCTTAGAAAATAAAAGCCCTCCACATTGGCTTTGATGTCTGATAGTAGAGAGAAATGACATTTTAAATAGGCTGCAAAAACAAAACCTTGAAAGTGCTTCCATTTCTGTGGTGAGGATGTGTGATTGGACAAGGAAACTAGTGACAGTCCTGACTGTGTGCTTGGAGGAACTGGGAAATCCACTTCCCTTTTTTTTTTTTGGAATGTGTGTGTTCTGAATCATGCTGTATAATTTCTGTGTTTGTGCATGTGTGTGCATACAGTGATCAATAATCGATCTGTCTGTGTGTCCTCCTCGCCAAGGTCAGATCGTCCCGCCTTGGCACACACAATTGCACACATAATTTCACAGTTGTGCTGAGCTCATCACCATCAGATACTGAGATGATATCAGGCAATATCATCAAGGATTTTATGCTGCAATGGCATCTGACAGTGACACCTGTATGTACCAGGTGCGCGCAAACACACACACACACACACTCTGTTTTTTTATGGGGACTTTCCATTGACATAATCATTTTTATTCTGTACAAAATGTATTCTATCCCCTTACCTAACCCTACCCCTAAACCTTCCCATCACAGTAAACTTTCTGCATTTTTACATTTTCAAAAAACATCACTTAGGATGATTTATAAGCTGACTTCCTCATAGGGACCAAAAATGTGCCCACAAGGATTTTGCCATCTTTGTGGGGACATTTTGTTCCCTGCCATTTGTTCTCCCCAGTCAAGATCCAAGCAGAATCCGACTACCGTACCGTATTCATGCAGTTATCGTTTAGTATTTTTTTTTATGCTTGTCACCATTTTGCATTATTAAACAAATTTTTTTTCTAATGGTGCATATGACTATTATAAAAGGCACAATGTAAATTTCGATATTTGGGTATCTTGAGCAGTATGTGATCATGCGAGGGTGGGTTACCTCACAGCAAGACGAGCGCTCCAAATGTATGCAGAGCCTTCATTAAATATACATAAAGCATGCTTTTTAAGGACACGTCGCTTCCACACCAGTAAAGGAAAAAAAGCACAAAACAAAGATTAGCATCAGGAATTCAATATTAATCAGTCTCGAGGGACACACACACACACTCTCTCTCTCTCTCTCTCTCTCTCTCTCTCTGTTTTCTTCTCTTTCTCCTCTCTCTCGTTATAGCGAAGGCTTTAATTCGAGAGGGACTTGTTGCTTTTGAGCCACATGTCTGAATATTTCCATGTTCTCTGATTAAAACAAAACTCTGGTTGACGCGTCGCCTTTGTCTTTGGCCCGTGCTTTGATTGCTTGTTGAGTTTTCCCTGCTCACTTTCATCCCTCCCTAATCGTCTTCCTGAATCTTTTTGTTTGCATTATTATTATTTATTTATTTTTAGGCAAGAAATTGCTTGTTTTTTTCTTCTCTGTCTTGCTCTCTCTCTGCCTGTCTCTCTCTGGTTCTGATTAGCGTTTCTCAGACTCAGCAGGAGGTTGGCTAGCTGTGGGGGAAGACAGTGCCGTGACCACCGTGACCACACAGTCATGCCTGAACACGGAGCCAGCCTTCCATGCATCCCATAATAGCCCCTGTTCTATTTCTGGACTCTGGCCTTGCCATTTCTACCCAGAATGCACAGAAAAATGAAGCCTTATTTGACCACATGAATTCTCAGCTTCACTCCTCCCACAAGTAAAATTCTGCGAAGCGAACAACATGTCAAAACATGTGGGTTTCATTCCAATAATCTAAAAGAGTCCTACTTCTGCACACCACCTTGGCCCCCAAAATGCACCGATTTAACAATAAACTGCTTAAACGAGCATGGCTTGGCTGGCGTGCTTTGTGTATGAGCTGATCTGTGGTCAGGTGTACTGTGTGGTCACAGCCAGCTGAATTAGGACACAAACCTGCTCAGCAGCTATCAGCATGGCAACATAATGACTGTGATTTGGATTGAAGAGGAATGCATGACTACATACAGAGGGGCTGTTGACAAGGGAAAGTGGCATGTCAGTGTGTGGATGTGTTTGTGCGAAAGTCTATAGAGCATGTGTATGAGCCTACCCTTATTATCGCTCTTTTCCCATAAACAGATCACTAGCTTTAAAAACGTATCGGCTAACGTCAGTACGCTTGTTTATTTAACTGCTTAATTACCCCCACGCACACACATATACGTGGGTATTGGTTGCCTGGTGATAATAGCTCTGGGCTGGTGACCCAAACAGGTGTGATCCCAGATAGGGGTGACCCACGAACTGTGTGTTACTGAGAATCATGGTGCCCTTGGGCAGGGGGGTTAACCAGTGCAGCTCCAGGGGATTGTCCCTGTAATTAAAGTACTGTAAACTGTCTGCTTACAGACAAGTAACCAGTTATACAGCTAGTTTATTTGTGTAATATGTTTTTATTTTTTTTAAAGATGATGCAGCTTATGGGGTTGGCGCACATGAGAGTGTGCACTGTTATACGTCTCTCCTGAGTCAGAGTTTGCTGGGCAGCAGAATGAGACTTGGGGCTGCTGGTAATCCCTCTCTGGGCTCTGAGTTTCTGAGCTTCGCTCTCTCGCTGATACTAGCTGGTTAGAGGGGGATTAGAGGACTGCATCATTCACTGGACCCCGGAATAGAAGTATGGGCGAGGGTGAAAAGAAGGGAAAATGAAAGAAGGAAGGACGGAAGGAAGAATTTAAG